ATACTTATGAATTACCAAAGTTGAACAAAGATGATAAAAACATTTTAAACACCCCAATCACAATCAGTGAAATTGAAAATGTAATTAAAAACTTACCAACAATGAAAAGCCCAGGTCCTGATGGATTCCCTGCTGAATTTTACAAGACATTTAGAGAAGATCTATTGCCATTACTCTTCAGACTTTTCAACGAAATTGAAAGAGAAGCAATACTTCCAAATTCATTCCTGGAGGCAAATATCACTTTGGTTCCCAAACCTGGGAAAGATGTAACAAAAAAAGAGAACTACAGGCCAATTTCCTTAATGAATACAGATGCAAAAATCCTCAATAAGATACTAGCAAACAGAATACAGAGGATCATCAAGAAGATCATTCATCCCGACCAAGTCAGATTTATTCCAGGGATGCAAGGATGGTTCAACATACATAAGTCAATAAATGTAATACACTATATTAACAAAGTCAAGGACAAGAACTACATGATCCTCTCGATAGATGCAGAAAAAGCATTTGACAAAATTCAACACCCATTCATGACAAAAACTCTGAAAAAATTGGAATAGATGGTCTATGTCTCAACTTAACAAAGGCTATCTATTAAAAACCAATAGCGAACATCATATTAAATGGCCAAAACCTGAAAACCTTCATGTTAAAATCAGGAACAAGACAAGGATGCCCACTATCACCACTTCTCTTTGATTTAGTTCTGGAAACATTAGCCATAGCAATTAGACAAGAGAAAGAAATTGAAGCAGTAAAGATAGGAAAGGAAGAAGTTAAAACTGTCATTATTTGCTGAAGATATGATACTCTACATTGAAGACCCAAAAAACTCCACCAAAACACTTCTCGACCTAATTGACGCTTGGCAGAGTAGCTGGATACAAGGTCAACACCCAAAAATCAATAGCCTTCTTGTACACAAATAACAGACTCACTGAGAAAGAAGTTAGGGAAACAATTCCTTTCACAATAGCACCCCCAAAAAATGAATTATCTGTGAATCAACCTAACAAAAGAAGCAAAAGGCCTCTACAATGAAAACTACAGCACTCTGAAAAAAGAGATCGAAGAAGATATAAGAAAATGGAAATATATCCCCTGCTCCTGGGTAGGAAGAATCAACATAGTGAAAATGGCCATACTACTAAAACTGCTACACAGATTCAATGCAATACCAATTGAAATCCCAACACCATACTTCACAGAACTAGAAAGAAGAATCCAAAAATTCATTTGGAACCATGAGAGACCCAGAATAGCAAAAGCCATATTAGGCAGCAGACACATGGCAGCGGGTATAACAATTCCCAATTTGAAACTATACTACAAAGCCACTGTGACAAAAACAGCATGGTACTGGCAAAGAAGCAGACCTGAAGATCAGTGGAACAGATTGGAAGACACAAAAACAACTCCAGATGCACTTAGCTACCTCATCTTTGACAAAGGAGCTCCTAGTCCCCACTGGAGGAAAGATAGCCTCTTTAATAAATGGTGTTGGAAAAACTGGATCTCAACCTGCAAAAGATTAAAATTAGACCCTTATCTGTCACCATGCACTAAATTAAAATCCAAGTGGATTAAAGATCTAAACATAAAAACAAAAACACTAAACTTGCTGGAAGATAAGTTAGGCAGAACTCTGGAAGACATTGAAATAGGAAAAGACTTTATGAACAAATCCTCAGTAGCATGGGAGCTAGCAGAAAGAATCAACAACTGGGATTTCATCTTAATAAAAAGCTTCTGCACTGCAAAAGGAACTGTCAACAGAACTAAGAGACAATCTACAATGTGGGAAAACCTTTTTGCCAGCTGCTCCTTAGACAAAGGACTATTATCTAAAATATATAAAGAACTCAAAACAACCAGCCCCCCCCAAATATAAAGACCCAATTCTAAAGTGGGCATCTGAAATGAACAGACATTTCTCAAATAAAGAAATAAAAGCAGCACGTAAATATATGAAAAAATGTTCCACATCACTGGTCATTCGAAAGATGCAGATGAAAACAACACTGAGATTTCACCTCACCCCACAAAGAATGGCTGCTATCAAGAAATCACACAAGAACAAATGTTGGCGGGGTTGTGGGTAGAAAGGAACCCTTCTCCATTGTTGGTGGGAGTGCAGACTGGTGCAACCACTATGGAAGTCAATATGGAGATACCTCAAAGAGCTGGGATTAGCGGTTCCATTTGGCCTAGCCATCCCTCTGCTGGGTATCTTTCCAAAAGAAATAAAAGAATCATATCATGGTGACACCCCTGTTTATAGCGGCACAGTTTGTAGTAGCAAACTTGGAAACAGCCCATCTGCCCATCAATTGGAAAATGGATAAAGAAGATGTGGTTTTTCTACAAAATGGAATACTATTCAGCCATAAAGAATGAGAAAGTAGATTCATTCATAGTTAAATGGGTACATTTTGCGGATATTCTTTTTTTTTTTCAGCTTTAATTGAGTTTATTGGTACATTTTAGGGATACAGTACAGTTACATTCATTGTTGGGATCTTGTACCTCTACATGACAAGTCTTGATTCTCATTTTTTTCCCCTTACCTCTGCCCTCCCTTCACCCCCTGAGGATATACTTCTTAGTGAAATAAATAAGGCACACATATGCAAATATCGAATAGTATCTCTGGTGTGAAAAACTAAAATAGTACTCAAGATCCTAATGCGACACTTAGCAAATAGGAAGAAAAGAACCAAAGGTGTAGGGACAGTGAGAAGGATACAGAAGGGGGAACAAGGTAAAAGGAAAAAAATATGAGAAAATGTAATTGGAATTAAAGTGTTTGAAGGGGGGGAGGGAGGGGAGGGATGAGAGAAGGGAAGGGACAAGGGGGAAAAATGAGAACCAAGACCTGTCATGTAAAGGTACAAGATCCCAGTAATGAATGTAACTGTACTGTCTACCTAGAATGTACCAATAAATTAAATTTTAAAAAATTAAATTAAAAAAAAAAGACCAGCCTGGGCTACATAGTGAGTTGCAGGTCAGTCTCAACTACACAGTGAGACCCTGTCTCAAAAAACCAAAAAAAGAAAGAAAACAAAAACAAAGGCAAACAAACAAACAAAAAAATAAAGTATAATAGGTTTTTATATATCTGGCTTCTTTTTATCAACATAAATATGAATTTTTTTCATGATGTATGTATAGTAATATCATTTATTTTTAACTACAGTATTGTGTTGCATTTATCACTTTTCTCCTTGGTTTCTAAGTTTCAAATATTTTGAATAAAACTCATATAAAGGCATTCTGATACACAAATGACTTCACTTATTGTGGGTATATATATATATAGATATATCGATATATATCGGTATATCTATATCTAGTTTATCCTATAAGCCAATGGGATATGTAGAGAGTTACATTTAGTAAGTATAGGCAAGATTTCCCAAAGCCACCTAACATTTCACCAGCAGTGTGTGAAAGATAAATTATTCCACTAAAAATGGTAAAAATATTTAGTTTGGAAATAATTCTATATAGGCAAACACACAAATACTTACAAAAATCAAATCTTTTAGGGTTTCTGTTTTTTTTTTTAACATTTCTGGCATGGCTTTATTATTTGTTTTCACCAATCTAGAAAAAGACTGAGCAACTCAAAGAAAGCAAACTGAAAAGTGAGAAACTAGAAGGGGAACATATTTTGAACTTTTCTCCAAATTGTAACCCAATGTTTCAACAAAACAAATATTAATATCTATTTAAGTAATGTGAAATCAAACATCGAAATGCGGCACATTGTATATATTCTCCTTTTGAAAGGCCACTACGTAAATTAGGATATTAAAGATCAGGACTCCTTACAGCAAAAAAATCATCAGTTACTTTAATCCACTATTTTGGAAACCTATTTGTCCATGGCATCCTATTCTGCTGTACCCTTTTTAAGTACAACTATTAATTACTTTCAAAATGATCATTCTGTCTTGCTTTAGACTATTCTTTAAGCCAGAGTAAAAGTCCTTTTATTTTAGTGATAATTTATAAATAAGACATATGTAATTCCTTGGAAAATAAAAATTTCAGAGAGATATCCTTATGAAGTGATGCGAAGTTTGGGGGCATAGATTGGATAGTTGTGCTGATGGGGGAGCAGGATTATGGTGTTTTGCCATTAAGTAAAAATACAAACACACATAGTACTCATACTACCCACTGAGGCCCAGCCAGACACATCTCTGTTTAAGTAGTTCTCTACACTTCACAACACCCATAGCATAGTCATCCTTCTGATATGAGTGAGCACATTTGTAATTATACTTTCTGAATGGATTGGTACCCATTACTATGTGTCTGGAATCATCTGAAATGAGGGTACTTATATGATATAAGATATTGCAGATGATTATACACACAATACTACAAAAAGGCAAAAGCAGAGGAAAAGGCCTCAAAACAAGACAAAAAGTCTCAAGGTAACGGTCACTTCCCTACAAAAGTGGTAAGACTACAAAATGGTATGTGTTGCTCAAAGGAGAAAGTACAGACTTGAGACATAATTAGGGTAAGAGAAATATATCTATCCTAAGCAAATTTAATTTCATTCACTTAGTAATCCTTCTATAAAAGAGTTCCGTAAGTTTTCCTCTCATTCTTTCCAATGAATTCCATCGAATCCAGTTTAAAATGTCGAAAGATCCAGGGACAAGTCCAAGAAAAACAGCTTAATTTAAAAGAGAAACGTGAAGCCAATTTTCATAAGTGTTAGTATTCAGACTTTTTAAAAATCAGTAACCACAGCAAATGCCCAAACACAATACATGCAGGAAGTAACAAGCACTATATAGAAACTATTTACAGTGGGGTGCCTGAGATAGCTGCCTGGTATTCGCTTTTGCTGTTTTGCAGAGATCTTGAATGAGAGCCTATGATTTCTTGTAACGATTTTCATTTGGTATTTTTCACCTGGGTTAACAAATCATTCCCAATTCAACTCAGTTGCAAATGCAGAATTCACTTACCTGCAAAAAACCACAAGCTTTGAAGTCCTCAAAGAAAGGCAGACTTGGGCGGTCTTCTCTATAAATCGACAGTTTATATGTGATCAGGGTCTCACCCTCTGCTGGAGATTTATCCACCACCAATATTGAGATTTTGTTCATTCCTAAACCTAGAGGGTATTTGGCAAAGCTAGGGGTGGGAAAAAGATAGAATAAAGAGAGAATGAATATGAATGGATAATAATTATTTATCCCACATTAATTCAGATATTAGCATTTACTGAAAACCTATTTTATTATTTGTAAAATTTGTAAAGTCTGTACCATTTCATAATAAATCTTATATATAAAATTGTAATTAAATTATGCACATAAAATTTATGACCTAGTGCCTAGCATGTGTTAGATGGCCAATAAACATTGGATTCTTTTGCGCTGGGGATTTAGCTAAGAGGTTCTGCCACTCACCTCACCAAGTGCAAGGTCCTGAGTTCAATCCTCAGTACCAAAAAAATAAAAAAATACAAAATAAAACATTGGGCTCCTTAATTAAAATTCTTTAAGATTCTCAGGGACTAAAGAAGTATCATACCAAATACATACATACACAAAAGTACAGTTTCCTTTATAAGTCTATAAATTAGTAGTTTTACAAATAGCCTTATAAAAAGACAATGTAATTAAAATAACAAACAAATGACATGTTGTTCACTAATTATACTATGTCCTCTTGAATATTTATTAAGCAAAAAGTAAAAAATATGAAAAAATTTAAAACTCTTTTTTATTATACTATTACAGCCAACAGCCATCTTGCAGGGCAAGCTACGTCCTCCGTTAACTAAAAGAAAGGACATTAATATTAATTAACTACTTGTCAGGGTCATATATTCATTTAGTAATACAATAACTATAAAAAAACTATGATGCTTTCTATTTTAAATATAGAAACCATTGCATAGACTTAGTAAAATAGCTGCTCAAAATTACAAAAGTTGGGCCCCAGAATAATGACTTGGCTCCTCTTTTATTTCTAGCCCAGGAAGGATAACACTTTTTTTTGTTGTAAAGATGTATAAACATATGTGTAAATCCACATTTATTTTTTAGACAATTTCTATTGATTAATGATTAATTTTAATTTTGTTAATTTTATTATATTAAACAATGAGTGCTTAACAGGAAAAAATATCAAAAACTATATTATTGTATTTTAAATATTTAGTGAGTGTTTATTAAAAAGCATCAACATTTTTAACATCAACTGGTTTTTGGTGTACAAAGTCTAAAAACCATCAGAAATAAAAACCTATGTGAACTACAATGAAGATATCAGTGGCATTATATAAAAAATTATCTTGGGCTGGGGATTTAGCTCAGCAGCACCATGCCTGCCTCACAAGCACAAGGACCTGAATTTGATCCCCAGCACAAAATAAAATACAATTTTAAAAAATCTTTATTTCAATTATTAAACATAAGGCACTCTTCACAAATGACAACAGTATGTTCCATATGCACACACCGCTTACACTGACATCACGTGTTTTGCTTTCCTGGCCTTTTTGTAGGACATATTTGACATCTCACTGGTTTTGCTGTTTTGTCAGGAGGCTCTTATTATATTATATAATGTATAGTTCACAGGAACATAAAATATCAACAAAATAAAATGTTACATTCTTAATATATATTGTGCCTCTAAAATAAACATCTACATTTTTGAATCAGCTGTTTACTTGCTTATGAAATCTAAAAGATAACATCAGAAGTAAAAACCTATATGAACTATGATGAAAATACCAATAGAACTGTACAACAAAAATAATCATCTCTTCCCCTGTCACACTCATGGCAGTCTTCACACATGACAATTTCATGTTCCTTACACAAGTATCGCTTACACTGATAGCACATATGTTTTGTTTTTCTGTCCTTTCTTGTAGGGCACAGTTGATATTCTTCTGGTTTTCCAGTTGTTGTAGTAGGTGTATGGGATGTTGCACCTTCCTATTCCCCTCTCAGCTCACCAGTGTGCTCCACAATATTTTTGTGTAGTTCCCTGGGCAGAAATATTTTGTTTTTCTTCTGCAGCAAGATCTCTTACAAGTTCCAGTCCCAATCCTCTAGGAAAAATTTTCTGTGGTATTTTGCACTTGTTACTTTCTTTGTCAACTATCAATCTATTTATGCCACACATATTTAGGCCAAGTAAAATACAACCCTTGGCCAATACTTTGTGTTTCAAGTGACATCATAGTTGCTGCATAACTCATCAACAAAATCTACACTGCCTTCAGTTTTGTTGTAGAAAGTTATCATCTTAGGCTTTCATTTGGTCAGGGTTTCCTTATCAGTAAGTTCATTACGGTGCAATGTTGACATCAGCAATACCACTTTATTTTTCTTGGCCATATATGAGGCCAATGTTATATCTTTCTGAAATCTAAAGATTGTACTATACAATTCTCTGTTTTGAGATTGTAGCATTTCATTTGGAATTTCTGCTTTAAAACTGTAACTATGTTGATCAACTTGTGCTCTGTTAACAAATATGACATTGATTGGAAACTGTTAAGCAAATTGTCAAATGTCATATTCTGAATAGTTTGGGAGATGGGAGCAACAAGTCTATTTACAGTGTCATTTGGTTTTATTACTATATGAACAAGAACCTGGTAGCTGAGTTCCAGGATAAATTTCTAAATTGAAAGCATACATCTTTGCATCCACAAGAGCATACATTTTTATGCCGTATTTTGATGGTTTATTTTGGCACGTATTCCCTGAAGCTACAGCAACCATGAAATGCTGCAAGATGGTCATCAGCAGTCATGTATTCAGGTGGTTTGAACATTGCTTGGTAGTTACAAATCTGTCAAACAATAACCAGATAGCAGCTAAATTATTAGGTTTTTTGTTCAGTCTCGGTGAATGCTTTTGTCCTCAAACCTCAGGCAATTTTGAAGGAAATCAAAGATTTGTTCTGCAAACCTCAACCCCAAACACATAGCTTTTCCACAAGCCATTTACATTCCTGTGATTACCATGAGCAAGCCCTGCTAAGTACAGCAGAACTATGAATATTTTCAGTTCAGCTAGTGAGGTGTCAAAATAAATACATTTCTAAGTATGGCTATTGGTGCATTCAGAACATTTCACTTGTATTTCAGCCTTTGTGTATTTCACAATGTCTTGTAGCATTTCATCTGTTACAATTTCCAATATCAAATGGCAGCAATGGCATTCTGTCCAATAGGTCTTACCCCTGCCAAGTTCCTCACTATATTTTTGAACCTAGTTCTAACATCGGATCACTCCAGTGCTCCATTTTGTAACATTATGACCAGTCAAATAAGCACTCACATTGCTCTTTTGTCATCTGAATCAAGGAGATCTGCAGTGCCTATGTCTGTATTGGTTGATTTTTGCTCCATTTGATTGTCACAGGAACTTTGGCTCACATAGCCAACATCAAAGGCATCGTCATAGTCGTCATCATCATCATCATCATCATCATCACACACCCATACTACTCTTTGTTATGAGAACATGTATTTTATCATAATGGATCATCTTTACTATCCATGCGTGAGTAATCTGATGATTCACTTTTGACCTCCTCTAAAACTTGCAAATATGGTTTTTCATGTGTTACTGTGCTGAATTGGGCTACTTCTACCAGAAAAATAAAAAGAAAACTTAAAAAAAAAGTGGTGCTGATGTATTATACCCTCTCTGATGTTCGGGTAAACATGCACAAAACCTGTTAGATGCAGCATAATGTGGCTGAAAAATCCCAGTTTGACACTTTTGCCCAGGTGCATACACCTTGCCATTTGTTGTACCAAGTGGGTAAACACAAAGATTGCTTTCTGTATCTCTAAAGGAAAGGTACGGAGACACACAGCCAGCTACTATTATACTGAAGTGAAACTTTACAGTAGAAAAGCAAGGGATTTTTTAAAAAATCAGTGCTATGCTCCTTATGCTAGTAGACTGTTGGCTGCCAGGAATGCCACATGCATTTCTTTCTCTACAGCAGGGGAAAAAAAAAAACGAATATTTTCCTCACTATAGACATGTCATGTAATAAAATTATAACCTGCATTCAAAATTACAAACAGAAGAATTTGTGACTTTCAAGCATCTATACAAAAAAAAAAATCCCTGTAGAAGTAGGGATTTTAGTGGCCTGTGTCTACACATTATTACCAACATGTTTAAGCAATGAACTCTTGTCTATTCAAAGAGTTGTCTTGAGGTAGAAGAATGGAACTGTTCACCATTGCAAAGGATTAACTTCAACAGTCTGAAAATAAAGACATTCCCTTAATGTTTTCTCACAACAACACCCTCTCCATTATAATATGGCTACAAAGGTTAGTTACAGACCAATGTGTTCTTTTAAAGCATCTAATGGCTAAAATGTGGAGGATCTCACACCTTAAATGACCCTGTGGCTCAGCTTTGTGGAACCACTTTCATCAAGTGCCTGCTCCCCAATAAGCTGTCTCACTCGACCCCAGCCAGCATTCCATACCTGGGTCCTTCCCGCTCACGCAGGTGCACCTGGCACTGACACTTAGAGGTCTTCACTCCAAGTGCCACCGTCACCACGTCAAATGGGACTTCTGAGTAATAATCTCTGATCTTTGGATCAAATTCAGGATTTAGGTCCAAAGGTGGATGTGTAAAGATCCGTGTGAGATAACAAAGTGTGTCTTTATCTGATTAAAAAAAAAACACAAACAATAAAGAAAACTGAAAAGTATAAATGATTTAAAGCCATATATCATTACAATGTTTCTTTTTCCCTAAATCTTTTGAACAATTTCAGTGATCACTGTTGACTGTCCACTCAGGGTCTTGGTCGTAACTGATTTATGGCTTCAGCTGGATTTTCAATTTGTCAAACATTGCAGAATTTACATATAGCAGCTGTTGACTTTTGTTGGTGTTATACAGATGGCTTTTTTCCCCTAGCCCTTGAAAATTCAAAGGCACAGAAGGTGTGGAAAACGTCTCTCTTGTGAGTTGATGGATGTGTTACCTGTGGCATATGTCAAGCAACTATGGAAATGGGGGCAAAATGTCTCTGTGGCGTGGTGACAGAAGGGAGCCAGCAGGCTATATAGAAAATTTTCTTCATGGGAAGCATCGTTAAACTGCCACTAGGCAGATACAGTGGTTTACACATAGTAAGGTGGAGCAGAAACGAAAACTCCAGCATTATAGTAAACACTCAGACAAAAACCATCCATAAAGGCATCCTTTCCCAGGCTACCTCCACATGAGAAAGTGCCCTAAAATATAAGGAGGAAGTTCTATTTTCTGTTCAATCCTGTTTTGAAATATGAATTGTATGAAATTATGAATATAATTTCATGCCATTGATTCTAAGGCATTGAAGAAATCTTTCTCTTTCATAGTACATGTTTTTACAGAGTAGCTTGGTTAAAAAAAAAAAGAAGGGGCTGGGGATTTAGCTCAGCGGTTCGGTGGCCTGCCTTGCAAGCGCAAGGACCCACGTTCCATCCCCGGTACCAAAAAAAAAAGAAGAAAAAGAAAAATAGCTTTGGAGGCACATGTACTAACCCCTGTTAAATTATATTCAATGTAAAGATTTGGACAGAACAAAGTATCCCATAGCTTTAAAAAATGTTTTTCAAAGAAATATCAACAAGTATTTCATTCCATTGGGTTTTTTGATACATAATAAAATTTTAGCAAAAAAGCCAGATAATTATAAAATGTTCAGTGATATTTACAACATTTAAACACAAAGCACAACAGACGTCACTAGAGGAATCTATAAATCTAAATTTAGAGAAAGGAGATTATTATGTCAGTCGCCTCTTCCTCTCTCTTATCAAAATCAAATTTGATGATTTGTCTCCATTTTATAGCAGTTTCTTACCACTTTCAGAGTTAAAGTTAAGCTCCTAAGAAGGTCACCAATGCATTTCACAATTTTTCCCTGCCTAACTATCCTTTTGCCTCTTCCATTACACCCTGTGCTTTGCGTTAGAACACAGTAATTCTGTTTCTTGGATAGATGTGCAGATGCGCCACTAAGAACATGGTAATGGATGGTACCAACCACGTTGGTGCTCTAGCGTAGTTCTTAGGAACAGGTCTCAGAATAGCTGCCATCATACACAAAAGCAATTAAACCAAATAAACCTATGTATTTCTGCCCCATATTCTATGATTTTCACAGCCTGTGGGAGAAAAATTTGTTTAAATATAATGTTAAAAAACAGAGTGTATATTATAATTTCATTTTATGTTTTTTGGTTTTTTTTTGAGACAGGGTCTCACTATGTAGGTTAGACTGACCTGGAACTCACTATGTAGCCCAGGCTGGTCTCTAACTCACAGCGATCCACCTGCCTCAGCCTCCCAAGAGCTGGGATTACAGGTGTGTGCCACCACGCCCGGTGTAATTTCATTTCATGGAAAAGTCTTAATAAAGAAATCAAAACTAGTCAATTCTGTTGAACAACATAGGGGACTGGGTGAGCTACTTGGTTTATTTTACTTGTTATTTGAATAACAAGTCATCCAAATATTTTTCTCTTGATAATACATTCAGGCAGATGAACAGAAAATTTACAGTGAGAGCAGAAATTTTGTTATTAGAACTCACACTGAAAAAGATCTCAGCTTTTACTTCAAATTCAACCACTTATTAATAATGTATATATTTTTCATTAATGTTTTCATCACCAGTACGTTCTATGTTCGATGCACCTAGATAAGCGGCGTAAAACACAAGATATCAGTACGAGACAATTCAAACGGATGCTGTGAACCCAACACGACACTAGAAACGCTTTAATTGGGAGAGGTATTGTGTTTAGGGAGACTCTTTGCCTAGGCACAAGGGGAATACAATACTGGTCCCACATGTTTGTGCCCCAATTTAGTTAATTGAAGGACAGAGCTGTAGATCTTTCCCCTCACAATGAAAGATGTGTTTTAACTGAAAACACCTATTAGAGTAAAGATTCCCGGAGAGTTTACTTCCCGGCAGTTTACAGTTGTTACAGTGGGATCTAAAATGCCCCCCCAAACTCTCCTGTGCATGGGTGTCAGTTGAATCGTGAGGGTGCTCTGCTCTCCGAGGGACTCATGCACCCACAAGTTCAGGGCCTGAATGTGCTGGTCATGAGAGGGGTCCCCGGGGGCGTGACCCGAAGAGTGCAGTTTCTACCCGTTCCTTCCTTTGTCCTCTACTAGTTGCCATGGGTTGAGCACCTTTCCCCCACCACACCTTTCCACCACCCGTTCCGCTGCACAGCCCGCTGAATGAGCCAAAGTGAACCCCTCCTCCTTTAAGCCGTGGGAGTCAGGTATTGCGTCTCAGTGACGGGAAAGTGACTAACGTAACACTTTTTACCTTTCTTTTTATATTTCACTTAACTAGTCACAGACCTCAGTGGGGCTTGCACCTATTATAAACCGACCTTCAGTCCTATGTAATTATTTTCTTAAACAGGATTTTGGCAAGTGCATATTTTTGCATGGGATTTTTGGTTTTGTTTTTGTTTGTTTGTTTGTTTTTTCAGAAACTCTCCACCTCTGGCTTGAGCCCTGGGTCCCAGGGCCCTGCTTGAAAGCTGATTTACTCTGACATCATCTTCAGCTGAATCATCAGGACTGCTGCCTACAAACACCTGGTGTTTCCTCGGCATCTTTCCCAGCCCAGTCCCAACTTGTCTCAGGCCAGCTAACCTTAGATCTACAGAGAACCTAATGTGAGGTATGGTGGTAACAGGCTGCTTAACCTATTTGACAAGTATATGTGCAAAAGCTGGCCAAGATTTTGTTCTTTTTAATGGATTTTTTTCTAACCATGAAATTCTATTGCTATCATGAGGGATAATCATGATTCATGTTAAACACAAAAGAACCTAGAATCTTAAAGATAATCCTACCTGTTCCGACCCATAATCAAAAAGATTTTTTAAATTATATACCATAAAAGTAAGAAGATTAATCAGGAAAATCCAGGTGGTACCAGTTTTTATCAACATAGAAACATGAACAGTGCCACCAACTTTATCTAACATGTTCATCTGCCGTGTTACCTAGAAACTGGAAAAAAATGAGATCATCCAATGTAACTCTTTTGTTTGTCAGCTGAGAGTACAGATGCCAGAAGAGGTGAAGTGTCTTTCTAAGGCAGGGGGTCTGGCACAGAGAGGATGCCCAACACGTGTTTATTCTGATCTTGTTCCTAATTTTCTTACTAGTCATTTTCCATCGCTCTGTAGGCAATGGTGTCCTAGGAGAATACAGAATCATTATTTTTCTGAGGATAGGGGACCAGGCAGTGGATGCAGTGGATGTTTCCTGTTAATAATACATTATTTAATTTGTTGTTGTTGTTGTTTTGAGACAGGGTCTCACTACGTTGAGACTGACCTGGAACTCACTGTGTAGCCAAGGCTGGTCTCAAACTGACAGCAATCCTCCTGCCTCAGCCTCCTGAAATGCTGGGATTACAGGAGTGCACCACCACACCTGGCTAAAATGTTATTTTAACCTGGGGCCTTTTTGAATTCTATTAAATTATATTATCCTATTATTTGTCAGCCTACCATGATTGTAGTGATAGTGTGATTCATTATGAATGAATCGATTTGTATTTCAGAAGATACATTTTATTAAATTAGAAGAACTTCTATTTATAATAAATTAAGACTAAGCTCATACATATTTTTCAACTTTAGTGTTTTATTGGAATTGATTATTTGTACAACACTAAATTATCTAATTGCATGTTTTAGCAATTCAATATTTTTGAATATAGATAGATGATATAACTGTATTTTTAAAATATACATTGTCTAAAAAGCCTACTATATAGAAGTCTTATTTTTGCACCATACATTATTGTATATTAAGAAAATTCAGGAGCACTGAACAAAGAACCTGAAGACTCAGCTTCAAGATCCATCTCAGGCATTTAAAAACCCTATAATTTTGAAAACTTAGAGTTTCTGGAAAGCTATATTTGCAAGACCATTGTGATAGAACCAGTTAGAGTGAAAAATTGAGTTTCAAAATTTAAAGTTTACGTAAACTCTCTCTCAAAAACCTCTGAACTATTATAAAGACAAGTCTGTTCATGTACTATCCATTACAGCAATCATTTCGCTAGAAAGAAATCATGCCAAGCAGTGAGATCCCTAAAGATCAATGTATAATGCTGATAAGCCAAACTCCTCCCCTTGAGGGACCTTAAATATAAAGACTTGGACCCCCTCAGGGCCCTCAAAATGACTTTAGAAGTCACTGTTAATAAATAAACATAAATACATGCCCTATTTCAGGCTCAAAAATAAATAGCTTACAACATTCTTCTTATTCCAAACTGACAAATGCTGTCTCGATCATAAATGCAAGTTCTTAAAATTAGCAGCCTAAGGATTCTCAAATATGATAAAATGACCACTTGCCCAAAGCAGAGTTCTGCCTGAGCTTTTGATTATGTTGCTGAAATTTAGTCTTAACTCACCATTACTGCACTGTATATCTTTTTTTTCATTCAGGATTTGTGGAACTGAAGCTAAAAAAAGAAATATAAATTTTAAATGAAAACAATTAAGATTTGAAGGCACATGTTTTGTTAACTTAAAGGATAACTTAGTAAAATGCACATTTTGTTACTTAGTTTTCATTATATCAGTGAGCATAGCTAAATAAAGCTGACAACCACCATAAAGCTGAAGTTATTTGACTCAGTGCAAATGAATGAGGAGTTCACACAGGAACATATTTAGGAAGAAAACAAATGGTCTAAATGCCATTCTTTGCCTGAAAGTAATGCACTGAAGTTTTTTCCAGGTGTACGATCTGAGAACAGCGATTTCCCAAAGTGCTAGAATTCAGAAACCATACCTAGCGGGTTCCACTACTTATCCTAATCTAATCAAATATCTAACTAGAAAACTCTCTAATAGATATTTATGGAACATATGAATGAATACAAATACAGAGACTGTTTTAAATAATTTATATAAAGACAAAAATTATGGAAAAGAGAAAAGCAGTCAGAGTGCCCATTTATCACTAATTCTTCATTATACCTCCTTCCTTATTTCTTCTATTGAACTAGTGTTCCTCAAACTCTAGCATTCTTGGAACCCACCTGAAAGGCTTGTTAAAATGCAAATTACTGGTCCTAATCCTGAGATTCTAATTGAAAAGATCTTGCATCTCTATCTTTCAGGTGATGCTGTTGCCACTGACCAGGGGTAGGACACACACGCACACTGAGAACAGCTATATTGGATTGAATCCTGATTTATATTAAGAAAAGCTTTGATGGGTGGGAACATCTTATAATTTTTTTTCTTAAAATTTCAAATATTTCATGGAAAATTTTCAGATATTCTTTAGAAGAAAAAAGTGAGAAAATAAAGATAAATCAAAGAGAGAAAATCAAAAGCACCATTAATTTGACTTGAGGCTAATCATTATGTTGAACAATATATTTAAATATCTTTCATAACATAAATATTTTCTATGATATTGGAATGGCCTTAAATTTTCATTGAATATGACTTCATATATATATATATATATATCCAATCTAGTCTTAAAGTAATAGTGGTAGCTTCTAATATTTTTCACTTATTGCCAAATTTATTTACCTACATTTTTATACATTCCTAATTATTTTCTTAAAATTAATATCCAGCTGTAGAACTTCTGGTTTGTAAGACCAATGTATATGCTATTAAATTATCTAATATTAATCAATGTTCTAATTTATACCTCTAATAGCATTTTGAGAATACTGACTTTCCTATACTTCTTCCAACTGTATTATCTTTAAGAAGAAAAGTGATTTTGAGGGAAAATAGCATTTCTTTATTTAATTTCACTTTTGATTGCTAATGAAGGAGTACATGTTTTATGTTTTGCTGACTAGGAAATAGTTTTATGTTGAAATAAATGGAACTATAGCCTTTTACCTTTTTTACTTTCAATTGCATCAAGTGACATTTGTGGTTTTTCATTGTTCTCATCTGCCATGAAGGAATTCCTGCAAAAACAACTCTGGATTAATAAAATGAGCAAAATTCATAGAATTTATATCAAACACACTATCTTTTCTTTTGTGCGTGCAAAGTTATTTCTTTGAAGACAAGGAAACATTTTCTGAATGTCATTCCTGAAAACTGGCAATCTAACTTCCAGCAAGAGAAATAGAAATCTCATCATCTCTAATCAGCACAAGCATACTTGAAAGAAACTAGGGCAGAATCACTCTTCAGTTCAGATCTGAGTGACCTCAGATAGCTTAAGTCCAACAGAAGTGATTCAGAACACACATTCTTCTCCGAACCTCTGACTAAAGTTACACAGTGCTTAAGCAAAAAACCTTGGAAACTGAGACAGCTGGGGAAGAACATACACAGAATCTGTGAAAGCTAAGTGTACCATACCATAAATGATCAATCTCACCAGGGCTTTTGTCCTTAAATTCTGAGACAGTGACGAACAGTAAAGGTTAGTTATATCTTGACATTCTTGTCTCATCTGCTCTGCTGTATGGCTAAATGTTTACCAACATTGCCCTTTAAATCCTTAAATTTGGGAGCAAACTAATCAAAACTGCAGGCAGAAAAACTGCTGGTTTTGATGATGGAGAGCACAGGGCATAATGGTCTGACAAGATTTTCCTATGCTTTTGTGTCTTTATTTTCACCCCAGCAAAAATGGAGATAACAATACTTGCTTTATTTCACAATGATGCTATGAAAATTGAATAAAAGGCTTTATGCCTAAGAACATTTTATGTGTAATTACTTCCCTAGACATTGTGCGGGGCACTGTGGCGGAGCAAAGAATAAGGCTTCTTCATTTTTTCTTAAAATTTAACCATCAGATAAATTAAGAAGAATCAAGGAAACAAGGAATTAAATACTTTGCTAATTGTGAAAGATATGATTATTTTATTGCAGATGGACTTCTGAAAGTCTTTTCTTTGGTACATACAATAAGATCATTTGGGATAAAAAGTAATGATGTTTAAGACATTTTAAAACAGTTCATTCCTCCTAAGCATCAAGAAACACATAAAGTGAGCACAACGTGAGATAGGTTTAATGTCCAATCCTAAGCTAGACCAAACTAAAAAATAAAAATCTCAGAATTCTTATGATGCAAAACCTCCAGGTGAAATTTGAAGAAGATACAAACTGAAATGCATATAAACTAAACTTTGGAACATTGCTATCTTAATAGAATGAGATACTTTGTATATAAAAGCATCTTGCTGTGATTATTTTTGATGCATTGTTTCAAATTCATCTGGATTTTCTTAAAAACCTTTCCTTAGAGCAAAATATACCTGTGACTTTATTTCCAATAAAGTGAAAATTACCAGATGCTTCACACTGATTTTAATTTTCCATTGCATTCAGCTTTACATTAACTCCACTGGCACCTCTGGATTCTGAGCCTTGGGGTACACACATAACCTTCTACTCTCACGTTTCTGACTTTAGCTTTCCTCATCTTGTTGCTGGAAGTAAATTATCTTTATTCAAAAGGAGGATGAAGTCAGTAGGCCTCACAGGTAGGGTAGGCATATAAAGCTGGCTTGTTCTGTAGAAAAACACTGAAGGCGACAAGAGTGAAGATAAAGATAATGATGACTTCTGTCTGCATGACGCCTTGCAGGAAAGCATTCGACTATGGGTGGAGGGAACAGGATCCTAGTCCCAAGTCTGTTTGTATTAGCTGTGCAACTTGAACAAGAAACACATCTTCTTAGGACTTCAGTTTTCTGATCAGGAAAGTATATGCAATATATATTCATCTCCTTCCAATGAGGCATGAATGATTATTATTAAATGTGCATATGCTCTCCGGCAAGCTTAAAGATACTTCAAATTGAGTGAAATTCACAAATTTTTCTAGAAGTAATGTATTAATTGCTTTTTGATCAACATCTACAATTTACTTATTTCAATGTTGACATAGATAACTCTTTCAAGCATATCTTTTCCTTATAAAAGAAAGACAAACATTATTCCCATCAAAAGTGATCTTTGGATGGCACAGAAACATGAAGGGGAAAGTACACTGATATTTACATCTACGAGTGTTACAGCATCAGTCACATAGAAGTTATTTTGTGTAATCCTCTGAAAATAATACTTGTATGTGGTAAGTAATGTGGGTCATATTTCATAGATGAGGAAACTGATTCTTAGCAGGGTCAGATTGTTACCTGTCATAATTAATGGACTCTAAAGTTGAAAAAAAATTTGGTGCTAAAGATGAAACCCAGGGCCTTTGCACTCAGCTATATTCCAGACCTTTTCTATTTTTAATTTTTTTAAATTTTAAGGCAGGGCTTCACTAAGTTACAAAGTTTCCCAGGCTGGGATCTAGCTTGAAATACTCTTATCTCTGCCTCTCAGAGTGCTGGGATCGCAGGTATGTGCCACCACACCTGGCAGAAAGCTGGGATTTTTTAATCTGTGTCTATGCAGTTTGAAAAAGTCCTGATTCTTTCTAATTATGCTCAACACACCATTATTAGTAATTTTCCTTATTGGAAGAGAATCCAAATGTATGCATTTAAAAAATCAGTGGATTGGTTCATCTTACAACATATGTGGCACCTGAGAAAAACTTGCTGGGAAACAAACCATATGAAGCCTGTGCATCTCAAGGGAACTTACTCAAAGTTAAAAACAATACTTAAATAGGCTCATGGGAAATCAAGTCTGTTCTCCTACCTATAATAATAAATGAGACAGTCTTGGATTATGTGAGCAAGTACAAAGTAAAAACAAAGCATTTTTTGTTCTATGATTTAAAACTTAATTTTCAAGCATACAAACAAGCCTTCTGCTAGGCCTTCAACTTCCAGGTACTGAGGCAATAGGCCAAGTTCATAAACTTGTGGCAATTAAGGTATCTTCTAATCCTGGGAGATGGTCTAAGAAATCTTCCAATTTATGATTATTTTTATTTTTTAATTATAAAAGAGTTTCTTATAGATCAGAGGCAGAAGTAAACAAAGTATAAGTCAAAAGGACTGTAGCTGTTCTCCGGGGTAAGTGCAGGAGACATAAATGAATACGACGTGTCTACTAGTCTTTCATCTCCCTAGGAGGTTTAGGTTTAAGTCTGCTTTCCTGGCAATAGAAAACTCAAATACTCCCTTACTTCAATCTCTAGAAAAGAAAAGCAGGCAAAAATTTACATGCTGCCCACTTAGCCAAGAACTGGAGGCAACGGTGACTCACCTGTATTATTTTCCTCTCATTGCCTCATTACTACCTCTTGTTAGAATGCGAGTGGAGATAGGAATCTGCTAGGAAACTGCTGTATGAAGCAACAAGAACAAAAGAATACGCATATATAAATTTAGATAAGTTTGCCAGAATAGTCATGCCTCCAAGATGCCTGCTGTGTTGCATCAGGGGCCTCTCTGACAATAGCGATGCTCACCGAACTCTTTCTGTAGGATGCAAAAATATAGATCATAGCACAAAACTCGATTGAAACTTTTAATTTTAAACATGACTTTGTAGTGGATTCAAGTCTTGTTGGTTTGAAAAACTTTTGGATATGTTTTTGTTACAGTGCTTGAAGACCACTAGACTCATTATGGTTTCAATGCTTTGAAGACATTTATTTTCCGGAGCGAGAATTTTTGGACATACTTCTTTTTGTTGCTTTCTTTAATGCAGGCAAAGCCTTTGAAATCAATCTTTATACTGGAGATCTTTCGGGGTTGTACAATTCAGATCTGCGGCTATCTTACCGTTCCAGTGGATGTAGCTGTGCCTTTTTATTCATGAGCCAAAATTGTTCAAATATATTTAAAAGAGACCAGTACTGGGTCAGGACTGAGCCAGGTTTTCCCATAGGATTTCTTGTATCATAAAATTTATGCATCAAAGATTGAATTTGAGGAGCAGTGGAGGGGAAGAGCTGAGGAGAAATACGCAAAATATCAGTGTTAAGTTATGGAAAGTAAATTGAAATGTAGTATTACAGAAAAGATTTTATACTTAGTTCAATATTTTTAAAAAATCAATCACTGTATTTATTGATTTATTAACATTTATTAACAATACATCAATCAGTACCATAATTTGATTTTCTGTGCAGTTTGGAAGTACTTCTTTAAAATGCTACTTTTTTTTAAAATGAGGAACTAATTTTGTTGATAATCATATTTTCACAGTTGAGTAAGTTTTCTTTTAAATGAGTAGAAAAAGATTTCTCCTTCCTGCTAAAGATGCTTGAAACAGCTAAAAAGAAGAGGGAGCCAGACAGTAGGAAAAGGAGGAGAAATCCTCTTGTGTTATGAGTCAGTTTTGTCAGGGTGAAAAATAGTAACCTCACCAGAAGAAGAAGAAGGAGGAGGAGAAGGAGAAGGAGAAAGAGACAGAGAAGAAGAACCATACAAATCTCATCTCTACGCTGGGAATCAGGAAAGTGGGGTTTGCCTTCCTTCTGCAAAATATTTATTGTTTTCGCTGCAGGGTGCCAAGAGTTGTTCTCTACATTGACTGTACCCTAGGTTGTACTTTCTTAAAAGGTGAATCCAGGTCTCTCATTATTTTCTACAGTATTGAATCAAACTGTCACGAAGGTAATACTATATGTAAATTAATTAAAAGAATAAATATATCAATTAAATTGTCTGGAATCTCACCAAAAAGAGGGCTCAATCATAAAACCAAATGTCAAACATTCATTAGTCAGTAAACGGGTTACAACTCAGACAAGTAGTATATATGGCTACATAAATTATTTTTAAACTGAAAAAGGAGTTGAGCCAAACATCAGCTTACTATTAATAAACTTCTTTTAAAATGCTTTAAAATTATTTTTTATATGGTGGAAAATGCAAATTATTATAGTTCATAAAATCTTCAGAAGTGGAAATGAAGCATGTGCTGAGCATGGGTATTCATATGTAATAAATATCCTCTGATATTGACAAATTAATTGAACCTAAGAAAATATAGTGAAGAGAACATAAATAATTTTTTAAAAGACTAAAACCAGTACAAGTCACTATAATTACTTATAGTTGCTTTCTCTGACATTTTGTAGTCACAACAAATTAAGATTTAGGTAGTTTTCTAAAATATTCTTATTACCATCAATTATATCTTATTTTATATACACTAAAAGGGTATAAGAAACAGAAATTAATATTGGTTGCATGTAAATGTCCCAAAACTAAAGGTAAAAACTTTTTAGAAAAATGATGACCTTTTCCCACTGAGAATTGTCAAATCCTGGTAGTTACAATAATCCATATTCTTTTACCTTTAATAAGTCACTGCTTGTCAGCAAACTTTTAAAGAGAACTATATAGGTCTTGATCATGTTACTATTTAGATCTCCGAAAGGAAGAAGAACACTTCCTAGATTTTTACTTTGTAATGTAATATCTTTATTTTAAAGTCAAAAGCAAGTAGCTTTGGTCCCACCGCCTGCCTTGCAAGCGCAAAGACTGGAGTTCGATCGAAACCAAATATAGGTTTCAAAAAAAAAAAAAAAAGCAAGTAACTTATGGTTGATCTACTATTATCTCAGTATACAACACAAATGAAGTCACTTATGTTTTTACCAGTTGGAATTGTCCCAGATTCATAAGTTCCTTTATGAAAGTCCTAATTAAATCAATTTCATCTAATGATAGGCATTGCTTGAGTTCCTTCTGATAGTTTTCATCCTACATTAAGGACAAAACAAGAAATTGCTCAAAAATCAAATCATCTTTACCCCAAAGGCCTCCCCCTTCATAAATCAAATTTTAAACTTTATAAACACCTAACCTAATGAATGTCATATGGCACATTGTAATTTTAACTTCTCAAAACAACATCAGCATATAAGAAAACTTCATATCTGACAAGCCAGACCTGCGTGAAATAACTCAGTGATGCTTTGCTCTTGAGGTTAGGAGGTGAGCACAGAGGGCAGAATGGGTGTGGCAACCAGTTTGAGGACACACGAAGAATCTCCATTGCCTTCCAGGCACTGGAGGTGAGCACCTCGAAGGAGTGTTCACACCGAACCTCATCTAAGGGGCAGCGCTATTTTGGAATTTCACAAACGTAGGAAGCTGCTATCTCCCTGCCCTCTGCTCTCCAACATCCTCTTATATCTGTCATGCATCTCTGAGAGCTGGAATGATGCTCTATGGAGAGCTGTTTGTGAGAGATAACAGCAGTGTTTGTGAAATCGCTCACATTCTATTGTTCCAAATATAGGTTTCAAAATAGAAAAATATGTGAAGAACAATATTGAATTTGGTCATCTATTTTTAAGGTATCAACAGTACTTGTGCTAACATGTCATAACAATTAGCAGTTCTACTCTGAAGCACCACGCCCTGATCAGCAGCATCTGGCCAAACGTGTTCACAGGCATGAAGGTTTTAAAAGTTTAATGTTAGAATTTATGTCCTCTGATAACAATTGGGAACACTCTCTGCTCCAGAACAGTTCTTGACTACCTCCAAAACCTTCTAATATTCCTTAAGTATTCTGTAATATACATGCTTACTCATAATATCTGTAAACATTTCTTAGGAATCATAAATGCCTTTACTTCATTTTTAGACCATAATTTCATCATAATCATTGACTTGCACACTTAGTTGATCTGAAAATAATGTTGGTCTTTGGGTCAGAAAAAATTAAGAGGTATAACATAACATACTAATTTTAAATTACTTTTATAATTGCTTAATTGTGAAAAGTGGCACCTGAAGAATAACTTGACAAAATATTAATCAGTGCACAAATATGCACTTACCTTAAATACACCTGATTTATAAAGTCTGTTAAATATCTCAGAAAATACAGAAAGTGAAGATTTATTGGAGAAGAGAAAATCAAAAGTGTCTTTTAAAAGGAACTCTTCTGTATTTTGGTCCTCAAAATCCATACTGTCGTCATCTTGAAAATTTAAATGCTCATGCACCTTTCAAAGGGTAAAAGCACAGCAAATATTTTTCATTAATTTTTACAGTGGACTTCTAATGTGATTTATTTTCTGTTGGACTGTAGATCAGAACTGACATCTAGTGGTCTTTTAGGAAATCAGCAGTTTTGTAAATGTTAGCGATGTTTTTAGATACAATTCTTTAAATGCTTTAATATATAAGGAAATTAACTATTATAAAACCACATTGGCTTATCTTGAAACCCTTTATAATTGAAGAATTTGTGTTCATGAGAGATAATATGTAACTTTTTTCTGAACTAGACATTCATTTAAAAAGCATAATACCAAATATTAGACATGTGCAAAATAATAAATGGCCATTAAAATGTCATTTTATAAAGCTTTAAACTTGAAAACTATTTAACCCAAATATCTTTAACTAGATTCTCTAAGTACTATATGAAGTTGAATTATCATATCCCTGATTTTAATTTGTTCTTCCCTTCCTACCATCTCATAACCCAAGAAACAGCCTTCTACATGCTAATTAAATGAATTGTTTTTATCTTGTTGACATTTTGATGGTTAGTTTAAAAGTAAAAATATGTAGAGATTATCGTTCATTTAGAGACTTGAAAAGAATCGAAGTATAGGTAAACACTATTCTACATATATATGTATATACCAGAAAGAAAAACATACTTCAAAATTGCCACGGCTTTTAAAATTCAAATATATACCAATTTAAAATTTGATGTCTGCACATAAAACATAACATTATGCTTTCCATCACATGTGTAATCGAATCTGGGTTATCTGCTCTTTTCTACTATTTGTAGGTCTTGCTTTTCTCCAGGAACACATACTAGTCTTTTCTTCATAAGCAGTAGTTGAAAATTTGATATAAAAATTCATGTTTATTCCATCGGGGACTGGAACTCATAGATTCCCCACATGCTGGCTAACTCCTTCAACCAAAATGTACCTAAGCCTGTAGTGATTTTAATGCAAGTTGCTATTTATCCACTGGCTATGATAAATGAACACAGCTCACACACACACACACACACACACACACACACACACTCACACACACACTTTACCACACTCACAAGGTCTTTGGCATACTCACCTGAAGCACTGTGGGGTACCTGAAACTCCCATAACCGATCTCAAAAGTTAAAAGCTGGAAACATAATCTACATCTGAAAAAAAATGTAAGGTAACATGAAAATATGGTCTCTTCACTATACTTACCCAATTATTTGGTATTAAAATGTTAACAGTTGCTGTGGTTAAATTTCAATGTCTGCTCTAATTAAAAAGAGTAGTGGCTTGGATAATCAAAAATAACAAATAATTCATTTTTTGGACTTAGTGTCTGCTTTGTTCCTTACAGAAAATACAAAAATATCTGAATTATCCGTAGCATATTAAATTAAGCAATGAAGTTATTCTATGACACCCTTGAACTGGATAAGAAACGTCTATATATTAGGAACTCACTCACATTTAAAGTATAATAATGAGGATAATAAACTGAGGCATCTTTCAGTTTTGTTTACACACTGGATGGAAAAGGCAAGTTGCATCCAAATGAGCAAAGAAATGATGGCAGAAGTTATTGAATTTTCTTAATGAAGGTTTTCATTCCTCCTCCACAGTTTTGAAACCCCTGGAATATTTGATACAGAAGTGTAGACAACTCTGAGCCCAAATAAGCTTCTCCTCCTTTAAGTTGTGGCTGTTGGGCATTATCCTACGATCAGGAGAGTGTCTAAGGTCTTGAGGACAAAAGGTATCATGTACAGGCAAAATTACATCAAGTTACATTAAGCACATATGTAGAAATAGCTTAACTTGGAGCCAGGGATTTAGCTCAGTGGTTCTGCCGCCTGCCTTGCAAGTGGAAGGGCCTGAGTTCAATCGCCGGTACCAAAAAAAAAAAAAAAATTTTTTTTTTTTTTGCTTAACTGGAAAAGAAGTTGCAATTTAAAAATTAATTTAAAATTTTGTGCTTCAGTTCCTGTTACCACTATTTGGATGCTAATAAATGTGTAGCATGCTCTGAAGCTTTAGGATCTATAAACTGGGTCATTTCATATTTTTACAACAGTGACATTAAAAATTTCCCAAGGACCACCTACTTGTGATACTTAAGATATATTTTCACTAACAATTTTTAGAAGCTAGGTTTCCTTCTTTTTAAATTAAAATTTGGTTGTACCTATGGAAGGTCTTTGGTCCCAGAGTAGATGCTTCATTGAGGACTTCAGCTGCCAGCAAAAGTTTGCTGATTGCCTCCTTCATAGTATCCAAGGCCTGTAGAGGTGAACTGGCTCTCAGGAATGTCTCAAAGAATGTTTGCAGCTGCAAACAAAGTAAAAGATTCATAGAATGAGACAAGGTTTGATTTGTTTCTCTATAATTTCCATCTCATGCTCAATAACTATCAAAGTTGGTTGTTTTCTGAATTTTTCTCTTAAAGATCTAGCCAACTAAGGAAGAATCTAAGAGAATCCTGGTGTTCTGCTAATATTTTAATTTAATATTTCATGTGGATAGATTAGGTGGGGCAGGGGAAAAAAGCTCCGATCTATGTCTTCTTAGAAAAATTATCATTAGTATCATAAACAGCTATTTTTATTTCCTTAAATAGTAAAACAAACACACAACAAAAGTACCATATGAGGATGCTTAGCATTAAAATTCAAGTCAATCTTTTTTTAAAAAGTATAAAACAAATCTCATATTGATTCATATACTTCTTCTAGATTAACATATCTTTCAAAGATGAAGAACAAAAAATATTTTTTGTAAAAACATACAGCAGGCACAGTATTCTATTAATGTTTTTGAAAGAACAGATGAAACCCATCAGAACTGCACAAGACTGCAAAGTGAAAAACTTTTGTTGCTCTAATAACGAAGGACAAATATCAGCACAATTTACTTAAGGACGATGGTAATTTCATCTTGAAAATGCACAAGCAAAATTCTCTCAAGATAAATAAATACCAACTTCATAAACTTTTACCACCTGAAAAACAGAAACCTAATGAGACTGCACATTAAGCCCTTGAAAACATTTCATCAGCATTTGGCAATTGGGATATTTTCTCATTTCACTAAGGAAATGAATGTAGTAATTGTATAATTAAAAGAAAACAAATTAATGCTAACACTAAATCTTAACATCTGTCAGTCAAAATAGAATAACATGTTTTTCTAAATAAAAGTACCTAACATCATGTTTCACACAGTGCACCATATTATGTGGAAAAGATTACTGGTAATATTTCATTTTACCTAAATGTCAGAGAGGTTAAGGTTAATAATATAAGAAGGTTGGAAATGTCTGCGTAGCATATAAGAAATAGAAGTTTAGGTACCAGATTATGTTCTCCAGGAGGAAGAGTAATTATCAAGTTAACATTTTAGGATTGCGTTTATTTTTATAATGTGAAAATGATTGTTTCTTAATTTCTTACTGTAACAACATTAAATATGGAATGCTATTCAGTTCATTCAATCAATTCACCTTTCAGAGAAAATTGTACTCTGTGGAAAGCATAGTGCTATGTGGCTTGGGAGACGAGTCTCATAGAACACTGATAATTAGACAGGAGACATGTGCCCAGTATTCCTCAAGAGGTGTTTTTCTGCTGTTTTTCTTTCTTCTGCTGCTTCCTCAAATGCTGGCCACATTTACATCAGATGCCCAGGGCCACTCCAGGAGACATTTGCTTTGGCTGCAGCAAGCTTCCTTCATGCATGATCTTTCCAGATGACTCCACTCTTCGGCCCTCTGGATGTTTCTTCCCCTCTGTCTATCCTCAGCCAGGTCCACGAGAAGGCTTCCCCTGCCCGTGACTAAATAAAAGCTCTGACACTGATCATACCCAATCCTGCTATTTTTTTCATAGACAAGCAACTTTCCTCACACCATTAGTGGGCCACTGGTGCACTGTTCCTCCGTAAGCTGTAATATAAGTCCTAATAAAGCTATTCTTAGATGACATATATTTCCCTATCCATGATTTCTTTCTCAAGAAAGGAAGGCTGAAAATACTGAGCGCTGGTCATATCAAAGGTGGCTAGCAGCCAGAGAATAATGGATGGTAGTAGGGAGTTGCCATAAGCTGCCATTTCTGGTCTCAGAAAAGGCCTCCAGTAACTGGAGGCTGTGGCTACCAGGAGGGTAGTGGATAGCTGCTAACACTAACACCTGATAGCCACTGGCTCAGAGCTGGTAACACTAAAAAGGCTACACTTCACCTGTTTGTGACTTCTATCCTAATGGAGCAAAAGAAGTATCTCCCAGGTGCCCAAGCTTCAGCCAGAGGCCCACCATATCATCAGTAAGTGCATGCAGATCCTGGGGAGCTGCTGTGTGGACCAGAGTGGTGCAGCTGAGGGTGGATCCCAGCCAGGACCCTGCCTAAGCCAAAGGCCCATAGAAACGACCTACACAACAGTGTGTAATAGCTAAAACTTGGAAACTTGGCCCAATTGCCCATCAACTGGAGACTGGATAAAGAAGATGTGGTATTTCTATAAAATGGAGTACTACTCAGCCATAATGATAAACTAGAGTTATTTATAGGTAAATGGATGCATATTGAGGCCACACTCTTGAATGAAGTAAATAGGACACATATATAAATACCAAATAGTTTCTATGGTACGAAAAACTAAAAGTGTAAATAAAGTTCAAATTGTATAATTGATAATGTGAAATAGGAAGAAAAGAGCTAAAGGAGTAGGGGAAGTGGGAAGGGTGGGGGGAAGGAAAGAAGGGAAAATAAAAAATATGAGAAAAGGAAAAATGGAAACAAAGTCTTTGAAAATAGGGAAGGGAGGAGGGGGTGAAAGGAGGGCAGGGGTATGGGGAAAAACTAAGAACCAAGGTATATCATGTAAAGGCACAAGACCCCAATGATGAATGTAACTGTATTGTATACCTAAAATGCACCAATAAACTCAATGAAAAAAAAAAGAATTCTTAAGATAAATGCTCCCTTCTGCCAAAAAACAAAACCAAAAACAAAACAAAGCAAAAAACTGCACATGCACAACAGCTTCAGCCAGAGGCCCACCGTACCATCACCCACAGCCAAAGGTCCCCCAGAAAAGAACTACACAGATGACAAGCAACCACCAGAGGCTCACCCCACAGTATTGATAAGGAGATGGAGACCCTAGCTAGAAGCCCGCGCTAACAGCAGGAGCTGGAGTACACAGCCCCCAGCCAAAGGCCCTGCAAGACAACAGATACATAGGGGCCCCAGCCAGAAGCCCACCCAGACAACAGGTCAGCTCAGGGACCCAGAAGGCCATGATTCTGAACCTAGGAGTGGGTACACTGGTAAACAGCAGCGAAAGGGCCTCTTGGTGGCTTTCTGGAATTGAAGACCACTGGGTAAGCAAAAAGCTGCCTCCACAAAGGCACAGCAGGCTCTATCTATTGAAATCAGAAGACACATAAGTAAGTCTCCAAACCAGACTTCTACATCACCTAAGGCAACCCCAAAGGGAAATGAGATGACACAATCTGATGCTCAACAACCCGAACTCTGTAAACTGGCAAAGAGGACCTGGAAAATATGAAATAAGAAATAATTTCTCAGATAACAGCAGAGATTGTACCCACAGTATAAGACATGATTAATAAATCTAGAGTGGACACAGGTTTAAAAAAATAGAGGAACTGCTGGTCGTGGTGGCACACGCCTATAATCCCAGCACTTGGGAGGCTGAGGCAGGAGGATTGCTATGAGTTCGAGGCCAGCTTGGGCAACATAGTGAGTTTCACATCAGTCTGAATTACATAGTGAGACCCTGTCAAAACAAAAAACAAAATAGAGGAGCTGAGGAACACGATGGAATCTCAACACAGAAAACAAATGGAATCCATAAAACAGATGCAAACAGATTTTCAGGAGGTTAAAAACTCCATTGAAAGTTTATACAGCAGAATGAGCCAATGCAAGGATAGAATTTCAGATACATAAAATAGGAATGCAATTAGTGACCAGGAAAAGAAAAATTTCTTTAAAACAGTAAGGGACCATGAGAGATCAATCCAGCAGCTGATGGACGATGCAAAGGAGACTAACGTAAGACTGATCAGAGTCAAAAAGAAATGAGAGAGTGCAGATGACATAAAAAACAGCTCACAGAAAGTAATGCCTGAAAACTTCCCAAGTAGGGAAAAAGAACTTGACATACAGATAGGGGAGGCACACAGGACTCCAAATAGCTGTGATCAAAAAACTTCTACACATAGACATATAATAGTTAAGATTCCAGAAACCCAACCGAAGAACAAAATTCTACAAGCAGCTAGAGAAAAGAAACAAATCACATACAAAAGAAAGCCCTTCGGAATCACAGCAGACTTCTCAACACAAATCCAAAAGGCAAGAAGAGCATGGAATGACATATTTTAAGCCCTAAAGGAAAACAACCTCCAACCTTGCAAAACAATCTTTCAAAATAGATGGAGAAATAAGATACTTTCATGACAAAAACACCTTAGGAACTTCATGAATAACAAACCGGCACTCCAAATAATTTTAAACAATATCCCAGGAAAAGACAATGAGGATCACAACCCCAGGAAGCCCAGCAGAATGAATCTACCAGACATGATAAGAAATTAAGTGCAAAGGGGGAGAATCCAACAAAAAGAAAAAGTCATGACAAGGATAAGTCAATACATATCAGTTCTAACCTCATATCAGTGCTTGTAAATGGGGAGGGGAGGAGGGGGTGAAGGGAGGGCAGGGACAAGGGGAAAAAATGAGAATCAAGACCTATTACGTAAAGGCACAGAATCCCAATGATGAATGGAACTGTATTGTATGCCTAGATTGTACCAATAAACGCAATAAAAAGAAAAAAAAAATGATCCATCAGAGAGGGCCAACTAATGGTGGGACACAAGCCCAGGGGTGACTGTTTCAGGTTACAGTCAATTCTCAAAAGGAAGTATCACATAAGAATTCAAGCACAGTTTTACCCATGGGTAAATATAGAAAAATTCAATAGATAAAAATGCAAGAGTCGATGGTTTTTGTCCAAATTAAAGAGGAAACAGGGATGCATCATATCTATTTCTAATGTGGTTTGAATTTAATCCTATTGTACTTTACAGATATTATTATTCTGTTTTTTTCAGACTCAACAGGGTTCTCTTTGAATTTAATCTAATCAGTCTGTTCCCTTACCTCTCGCTGAATGCTTAAAATATGTCTGAAGTAACCCAAAATGCTTCAAAATTGCATAACAATGTATTTTTACATAATAGTCTTTTCTTTACCACTCTAATTCTCAGTAAGAAAAAACATGCTCATAATTTTAAGTTT